ATCCCAGGACCCTGGGATCATGACCTGAGCCGAAGGCAGACGCTTAACGACTGAGCCACCCAGGCGCCCTAAAGATTTTATTTTTAAGTAATCTCTACACCCTATGTGGGGCTCGAACTCAAATCCCCGAGATCAAGAGCTGTGTGCTCTTGTGACTGAACGAGCCAGGCACCCCAAAAATCATATAGTTTTTTTCATTTTGTTTTTTGTTTTAAGGTTTTATTTATTTATTTGACAGAGCACAAGCAGGCAGAGCGGTAGACAGAGGGAGAGGGAGAAGTAGGCTCCCTGCTGAGCAGAGAGCCCAGGATGCAGCCTGATCCCAGGACCCCGGGATCATGACCTGAGCTGAAGGCAGACACTCAACCAACTGAGCAACCCAGGCACCCCGTATAGTTCTTAATACAACTTATGCTTACAAGAGATTGAAAGATACTGTAAATAGAACAAATACTGATACCCTTGTTTAAGGGAAATAAGAATCAAACTCAGAAAACATTAGGAAGACCAAGAATATCTGCTCTTATAAAAGAAGGGAGAAATGTTACCAAACAAAAAAATAAAAGCCCTGTGGATTGGGGGGCAAAATCCAATTTCTTTGTTTTCAAAACAAGCACAAAACAAAAAAGGATAATGTCACAAACACTTAAAATTGGAGCAGGGAAATGAAGGAATGCATCACAGTACAATGATTTGGCTTCATAAAGTAAGACTGATTAAAATGAAATGTCACAAGTTTTCATATCTAACAAATGATGTTAATGTACAATATACCAAGAATACAAAGTGGATTTTTTTTTCACTTAATTTTATTACAGACCACCAAATCACTGTTTACTACATTTATTTCTATAGGCCATTTCTTTTTGGCAGTACATGATGCTACATTAATACATACATGCTAGATATTTTACCATTAGAATACCTCGTTACCTTTCCATCCATACACATATATTTATTACCTCCATCATAAGAAACTTGAGACTAGGTCAGATTATCTAGAAAGTTGTTTTCATTAATAGTAAAACTCGAAATTTATAGAAAAATACTAGTTGTGACAACTTATGTGAGTTGTATTTTGATAGAATACATTTTTTAAAATGTGTTCTGGCTTTGTCAAATAAAATCTTTAAAGTAGTGTCTTTTTCTTATGGTAATGGAATTATCAGCTGATCTTAAGCTCTTATATGTCTATTTGTAGTAATGTGCTCATCTAAATTCTTGAAATTAATTTCGTTTTGGAAGTGGGGTATTCACATAGTGTTTTTAATATTCCCAAAATTCTGGAGGTTAGATTTTCTTTTAAGATTTTTTTTGAACAGAGGGAGATCTAGTGAGAGAGGGAACACAAGCAGGGGGAGTGGGAGAGGGAGAAGCAGGCTTCCAGCCAAGCAGGGAGCCCGATGCGGGGCTCGATCCCAGGACCCTGGGATCATGACCCAAGCCGAAGGCAGACTCTTAACGACTGAGCCACCCAGGCGCCCCTGGAGGTTAGATTTCCTTAAACATGGTTCAGATACTCACTTAAAACTCTACTTTCCTTGGTATGTTTCCTTTTTCAAGGCATTGAAAACTAAATATTTCAGTAATCGGCCAGGGCCAACACCTGGATGTCAGCTGCCAAGACCAAACTGTCCATTGGAAACTCTAAAGGAGCAGTCAAATCCAGCTGTAGCAACAAAACGGAAGAGAACACAGGCCTTGGAACAAGGTAAAACTTTCATTTTCATAAGAAATGAATTCAGAAAACTCCAAGTAGGTAATATATAGCTAGTGACCGAGGGGCAGCTAAGAAATGTAGATTGTGAGCTGTTTTGTAAGTGTGGTACAGAATGTGGTATTTTAGTGTTACTTGTTTCCACTGAAAATAATTAAATCAAGCTTTTTAAAAGGATATGGGCACTTCTGAGTATACCTCAGAGTTGCGAGAACTTATCAATATGTACCTTATTTTCTTCATAAATTTTTACTGGTATACTGTATGCTTAATGTTAAATAAGTCTTATTAGCAAATCAAAGCAAGTAAAATGAATGTAGTTAGAATGCAGTGACTGGTTAGAATTGCTGTTAAGATTAAATGTGAACAACCTCATTTTTTTTTCACCTAGGAGGATTACCCAAGAAGCTAATTTTTTAGTTACAGAGATCACTGGACAGTATTTTACTACTGAAGGAAATAGTCAAGGCAAATAATGGAGAAATAGTAAACGTTTAGTAAATGCTGTAGAAGGAATTTGTAAATATTCCACACATGTAAAATATGTAAAACTGGATTATTTTTATTAAATGTATTTTAAAACAAACTTAATTCTGATTTTTTTGATGAGAGTGCAAAAGTAAGATTAAGTTCAATTCTCTGAAATGTAGAATTGAAAATGCATTAAGGAAACCTTAATAAAAATAATCATCAGTTACTTTGGTGATCTGGCCCACATAGCATCACGGATTTGTAGTAGCAGGGGTAGTATTCAAAAATTGAAGCAGTAGTAGAAATGTAGCATATACCTCCTACCTAGAGTTAACAAATGTTAATATACTAAATAGGAAAAAAAGAAGAAAAAATTACAAATGAAATTGAGGTCCCTTTAATATGTCATTCCATTCTTTTCCTTTTCACCTTCCCGAAAGGAGAGTGACTCTTAGGAAATGAGGGTGTCCTTCCATGATTTTATACTGCTATTTTATAAAAATACATGTAATAATACACCGTATAGTTTTGGGTCTCAAAATTTTATGAGTGATAGGCTGTACATCTCATAATTTTTTTTACTCAAAACTTTAATTCCTTCCATGTTAATACATATAAATCTAGTTTATTTAATATCCATTTAATATATAAAAATATATATTATGTATATAACACTACATACTCATGCTTTATGGACTGTTATTTTTCTTGTGCTGTATAAAAATTACCATAAATATAGCAGCTTAAAGTAACACAAATTTACTAGCTCACAGTTCTGTAAGCCAGATGTCTGACCTGGCCCAACTGTGTTTTTTGCAGAGGTCAAAATCAAGATGTCAGTTGATCTGAGTTTCTAGGGAAGAATTGGCTTCCAAACTCATTCATTTCATGTAATTTTAATGCACGTGCTTCTTGTCCTGGTAGCTGTCAGCCAGAGGCCTTTCCCAGCTTCTTAAGGCAGTCCACATGCCTTGTCACATGGTATTCTCCATCTATAAGCCAACAGGTGTGCTTAGAATCTGGTTTCTTTGCTACCAAGAGAGAAAACTCTGCTTTCTTTAAAAAGACAAAATAGACTACATCAGGATTTAAAACTTGTATGTATCAAAGGAGTGATAAGCATAGAGTGAAAAGATGCAAATCATATATCTGATAAGATAGCTCAATCATATATCTGATAAGATAGCTCAACAATAAAAAAATATTAAAAAATGGGCAAAGGACTTGAATAGACATTTCACCAAAGATGATACAGAAATGGCCAATAAGCACATGAAAAGATGCTCAACATCACTAATCATTAGGGAAATGCAAGTCAAAACCACAATGAGATATCACTTCATACCAGTTAGGATCTTTACTATCAAAAAAAAAAAACAAAAAAACAAATCCCAGAAAATAACAAGTGTTGATGAGGATGTGGAGAAGTTGGGACCCTTGTGCATTATCGGTTGGAATGTAAAATGGTGTCACTGCTGTGGAAAACTTTGGCCTTTCCTTAAAAATTTTTAAAGAGCATTTTCATATGATCTAGCAGTTTCACTTCTGAGTGTATACCCCCCAAGATTGAATGCAAGGTCTCAAATATACACAGTCCCATCAACACTGTATGAAAGGATCTGTTTCACCTCATCATTTTTAGTACTCACATAATCTTTGTGATCTTTGCTAATTTGGTATCTCATTCTAATTTACATTTTTAAAATTTCTACTGTGGTTGAATAGCTCCTCACATTTGCTAACCATATATAATCCCTTTTGTGAACTGTTGGTTTAGATTCTTTTTCAGTTAGAGTGTTCCAAATTTTATCAATTTATATGAACTTGCATTTTATATATATACACGTATTATACACACACACATTAAAAAAGAACCTTTTTTATTTGATTTTTTTTTTTTTACACTTCCAGGTTTGTTATTGTTGAGCATTACCAAATCTTTCCTTTTCTTACCTTTTATTTCATATTAAATCATTACACATATTAAATCATTACATGTATTAAATCTGTGTGTGGTCTTTATCCTGTTCCATTGACCTACTGGTACCACATTGTTTTAAATGATGTAGCTTTATATTACTATCAGGACAATGCATTTTTAATATCTAGTAACAGTAGTTCCTCATCATTACTCCTTTTTGCAAAATTTATTTGCCAAGTTTTCATCTTTTATTAATATTTATTAATTCCAACTAAATGGTGTTGCTTTAACACAACAATAGTTTATACTTCGTTGTTACCTCATTTTACCCTGTTGTTACCTCATCTATTTAAGTAGTAGTTAACGTAGCCAAGCCATGTATGTATCTTTTTTACTAGAGATCATAACTAGATAAAAGTTTTATTAAAATTTCTGATAATGTAATACAGTTCCTTTGACATGTGATGTTATTAATATAGCAACATTCCCAGAAGTTATTAAAGATCTTTACTATGTAACATTTATAGAAAGAAAGAAAAAATTAAATGGCTTAAAATTCAGCATCAAAACCAAGAAGGTAAATCAGAATGGTGTGAGTGCTAGAATTATGTGTAGATCTGGCTACAAAGTGTCACCACCCCAACAAAAAAAGAAGCTATAAAGGTAACTAACAATGTTTTGAATATACTTCTGCCAAAGTCCCACCATAATAACTTTTTAATTGAAGTTAAGGAAATTATTAAACTTTGTGGCAAATGAAAAATCCTGAAAAATACAATAAAACAAAATATATGTAATCTAAAAATTAACATTCAGTCACTCCTAGGCATTGTTACTTCTTAGAGCATTAATTTATATTGTTACTTAAGCCAGTCAAAGATCCCTTTAGTCAATCTAAGTAAGTAACTATTTTTCTCAAAAATCATTTTGTTGTTTTTAAGATGTTGGCAAATACTGAAAATATAATAAGGTATGGTAATGTAATTTATAAAATATGTCAACATAATACTAATAAATTTCTTGTAGAAAATGAGTATTTAAGCTGCACAACTAATTATGTAGCAACATTTGTTAAGTCCTTTTTTAAAGTCTCTTGATAGAAACAGCTCTTGGTTCTGATTTCAACTGGTTTATTTTCAAAATATGATATTTGATGGCAAAGAACAGGATCTTTTGAGAGTTCTTGTGCAGTTTTGATCTCTGTGAAGGTGCTGGATTGAACAAATGCAGCCCGCAGAATTTAAAATTTGAACACTTGAAAATACAGGATCATGCAGTTCAAGGAATTCTGAAGATTTCCCCCAGAGGTTTTTTAATGGAAAATTGTCTTTCACGGGACATTTTTCTTTATTCTCATTTGAGGTGGTGTCTCTCTCTTCCAGTGCCCGAGCAAGCATGTAACTAACTTTTCTTTGATGAGCCAGAGCTTCTTCTTTATCATTCAACTGCATATACAAAAATTTAAAATTATACCAGTTACAGGTACCTGGGTGGCTCAGTTATTTAAGCATCTGAGTCTTGGTTTCAGCTTGGGTCATGAGAGCAGGCCAAGCCCCACGTTCAGTGCTCATCACGCTCACTGGGGAGTCTGCTGGAGATTCTCTCGCCCTCTACCCCTCCCCCAACCTGTACGTGCTCTCTCTATAAAATAAATATATAAATCTTTTTAAAAAAAAGATTAAATAAAAATACGCCAGTTAGTCAATAAATGTTCTGTCTTCAGTCTGTCAAGTCAGTCAATGTAAATAATTGTTTACTGATTCCCAAGTAATACGGTACACATTACTGAGGCTTTTTTTTTTAAAGGAAGAAAAGAAAGCAGCATTCCTTCTGCTGAAATTTTTGTAGATCATCTGAAGAAAGGGGAAAAACATATACATGGGGTGTGTGTATATGTATGTGTATATAATTTTTTTTTTTTTTAAGATTTTATTTATTTATTTGAGAAAAAGAGCACGAGGAAGGGGGTAGGGGGTCGGGGGTAGGGACAGAGAGAGAGGGAGAAGCAGACTCCCCACTGAGCAGGGAGCCTGATGCAGGACTCCATCCCAGGACCCTGAGATCATGACCTGAGCCAAGGGCAGACACCTAACTGACTGAGCCACTCAGGCACCCCTCACTTGTTTATTCTTAAATTAAAATTGTAAACCTTTAGATTTTCCTAACCCTATTACAGTCCATCTCCTGAGAATAAATACTAGAAAAGAGAAATTTTAATCAGACTCTACCTTCTGATTGAAACTGTGGTAAAAATTTTTTCAAGCTCTGAATAGCTATAGGAATCTCAGCAGGTGTTAGAGGAACCAGTTCAACCTTGCCATAGTGCCAAAATGTGGTCAATCAAGGTTTTGAAGTAAGTCATAGCAGCGTTCACAACACCAGGTCTTCTCCACAAGATTATGAACAAACTGGGCCATGGTTAGGATGGAAAGTCCAGTGCCCTGGATGGCCACTGAATCTGACCAAATGATTTCTGACAATGGTGCACAGCAATTCAATGGAAATCATTACATTCTCCATTTGACAGTTTTAGTTCTTCATTTCAGAACTATATGCCTTTCAATCCTTAAGTTTGAATTATAAATATTTTTACAGGACATGTGTAGTCTTCCAGATTTCGTGACATTTAAGAGTTTTCCTGGAATCCCGTTACAACACATCTTCATTGCAGCAGGAGACGACTTGCTAGATCTCATACAAGGCTTATTCTTATTTAACCCATGTACTCGAATTACAGCAACACAGGTATTTTAGCATATCTTTCTTATATTAGGAAATATGAGGATAATCTTAATTCTGGCATAGATAAAATAAAAGTAGAATTTCTTAAGATTTTCTGACATTCTTTAAGTACTGTAAAGATGTGTTTTTGTTTTAAGGAATAACAAATTTTATCTTGTCCCCAGGCTACAAGCTGTTCAGTCTGATATTAAATTACATCAAGCACACATAACAACAGGAGAATTTACTTTTGTTAAGGAACATATAAATATATATTTATTTCATAATTAATTGGCTTTCAAGTAGTTTACCTAGAGAAGAAAAAATAAGGGTTCTGTACTTGTTAAGATAATGGTTATTTCAATTAGGTTTGTGCTATCCTAATGCCAAAAGTGTATTGGTTTTTTTCCCCATGAAATACAGTCCCAGTATGCATCCTGATCATTGTCATAGTCAGAAAGTGATAATGGGGAAGAAAATAATACAGTTCTTTTCTTTTTTAAAGATTTTATTTATTT